GTGGTCATAGTACTTATTTGTTCCTACGCCAAACCACATGGTTTATTAAATTAAGTACGAAAACATGAAAAAGTTGTGTCCATACTACGAAAAACAAAATTGCCTACCAGTGGTATGTAATTATCCCTGGACCTGATAATAGTAATCGTGTTTTCTTTTTTCTTTTTGTCCTTCTCGTATCAAACGAAATTTGGTCTTTTTTTAGTAATGGCCTCCAAATGTGGCAGAAATAAGACATTTGATTTCATTTAGAGAATCATCTCCAATAAGCCCATCGGGAGTTGTCCCAAGATAATAATCTTCAAAATCAATAAACAGTCCACACTCACACACTTTTAGATTATGTTTCCTAATCTTGATTCCTTGCAAAATGTTAAATTAATGAAATTGCAATCGAAATATTCTTTTTATTTGCGATTGTTTACCTATATAATTCGGTTCATCGTTTAAATTTCTGTGGCAGCGTAGTCCTTCCCCGGTCGTGCTGACTAGCTGAGAAACAGATAGCATTTTGAAAATACCTACTCACGCCGCGTATCGGCACTTTACAATTGACAATACAATAATTTTAGTATTCTCACTAGGAACTTCAATGCTGATGATCAAAGGCTTTTCTGAAAATATTATCTTCTGTTTTTGCGTCGAGGCAAATTAGAAGTTTTACAATGGGCTAGCATAAAAATACGAGTATCTTGTTATTTTTATGTAGGTAAATTTTTAGATAGTAGCCTAGTTTTATTGCACATTGGCGATAATCAAAGACCATTCATTTATTTTATCAATTTTCCGTTTTTGATAATAAAATAAAAAGTTTAAGTTTTTCGGATATAATATAGTTAAGGTTACGTTCTGGCATTGCTCTGTAATAGTTCGGAAAGATTTATCGCAATCGCTTTAGCCGTTCCGAAGAGTAGCCTGAACACACACGGACAGCCAGATAACATTTAAAAGTTTTTATTTATTCCTTAGAATTAAGCAAATAACGCCCTGAGTTTAATAGAAGCAGTTATATCGTTCTTAGAACTATAGATACTGGAATTTTATTTATATGGAAAGAAAAATCAAAAAGATATAAAAAAAAACCTAACTAAATCAGTTAATTAAAGAAAGCTGTCGATGTCTCTGTCACACGAATGCACCACGCCAGTCCATCCATCAGAACTACAGAACACAGACAATTATTGCGCAATGTAATCTTCACAGATTTCTGATGTTCTAGTATATTACAAAGATACACGTGATAGACGAAGGTTTGCTATTAAGTTTCGCTATCAGTGAGCCAGCCCATGCCTCCTATTTTTGTCCCCGTTCTTGTAAGAAGCCCGTGAAATGGATTACTTGTTCCTTTTAATTCATTTAAAATTTCGGCAATTTAATTTGTGAGAACGCTAGGAACTTAGCATGTGTTGCTGCCGCCCAGGGCCTTCTCATCTGCAATTTCAAAGTGCCTTATAACATAAAATCGTTATTGTCTTCTATAGGCCTTTAATATTATGAAAAAAAGGAATAAAACAATAACAATAATATTAGTATATACCTACTCTTATTCATAATTTCAATACTATAGTGTTTGAGATATAGACTGAATCCTGGATCGCGCCAAAATCAATTATTGGGTTTTTCTATCAAGAAATTCTGAGCTTGCGCATAAACTCGGGCACCATAATCCTGTACTTCGCAGATGGCTAGTTTCCGTTGGACTAGCCACCGTGATCGAAAATTTGCTCTGAAGGACATTCTTTTAATCAAAATTATTAATACTCAATACTCAATACTCAATAACTTTATTGCATTCCATAGGTTACAAAAGGTGTTACATAGTTTTATGGTATCTCCATGGGCCCTGATGGGCACAGCAATATTATGAAGGAGGAACATTTATTATTATAATTATTGCTATTTTTAAATAATTATTTAATATTAACATTTATTCTATTATTTAAACATACACACAATGAATTTTAAATACGGTTATTTTAATTGTTATAATTCATTAATGAATTGATTTTGATATTTAAGGTATTATTATAATTGGTGTAATTAGCACAGTTGAATTTTTATTAAATTATTTGAATCATTTTTTAAATTTTATTTGAATTTTTTATTGTAATTTATTTAGTAGGATGGCATTTCATTATTACCTAACATATTTTTATTTACATATCCATATTATATTATATTTTTATCGTCTAAAAATTCAGAAGTATTATAGTAACACTTATGTATAAGCAGTTGCTTTAATTTTTTTACGAATTGTTTTTCGTCCTTAATGCTTTTAATATATTCGGGTAATTTATTATATATTTTTATAGACATGGCGAATGGGCTGGAAGAATGAGATTTTAGTTTTGAAATTGGCAGCACTAGTTTGTTTCTTTGTCTTAGATTCCTAGACATTAAGTCATCTCGTTTTGTGTAGAAACTTGGATTTTTTTTGACAAATTTGCATAGTTCCAAAATATAGATAGAGGGCAGGCTTAAAATGTTATACTTCTTGAAGTAAGGCTTACAGCTTTCTGTGTTTTGTATATTAGCTATGATTCGTATTAGTTTTTTTTGTTTAGTTAATAAACTTGGGGCATCAGTACTGCCTCCCCATAGGACAATGCCGTAGCTGAGCCATGCATGTGCATACGCGTAGTAGGTTGTTATCGCAGTGGTTATATCTGTTGTTTTTTTTTACTTCTCGTAATGCGTACATAAAACTGCTTAACTTTCTATGTAATTTTTCTATGTGTGGTTTCCAAGTAATATGGGTATCTATTATTAGGCCTAGTAGTGTGTGCTCGTTAACAGTATCTATAGTGAAGCCGTCATTATCTAATTTTATATCTAATTTTGCTTTTTGATATGGGTGAAAAGACATTATTTTAGTTTTTGATAAGTTTATCCGCAGGTTATGTTTAGTTAGCCAGTCCGTTGTTTTGAATAATATGCTGTTAATTTTTTCTGTTAGATTTAGTGGACTTTGGCTTGATATAAGAATAGAAATATCGTCCGCGAACATGACACAGTGTTCGTTCAGGGTTTCTGCAAAGTCATTAATGTAAATTAAAAACATAAGACACCCCAGCACGCTGCCTTGAGGTATTGAGGCTTTAATAGTTTTAGTATCGGATCTAATTTTTTCAATTTTGTGTAATTTCTCATTGAAATACTCTATTTCTACTATTTGCGTTCTATTGTGCAAATATGATTTTAACAAATTGTAGCACGGGCCTCTGATTCCTATGTCATATAATTTATTTAATAATATGTTATATTGCACTGTATCGTATGCTTTTGACATGTCTAGTAGTATTCCTATAGCATATTTTTTATCGTTAATTATATCATGTATTTTTTGAATGTAATTGTAAATTGCTAAAACTGTTGATTTGTTTTTACGGAAACCGTTTTGACTTTCACTAAAGATATTATATTTTTCACAGAATTTATAGATACGATTGTATAATGCTTTCTCAAATATTTTGGAAGCAGTGGGTAGTAAGGCAATAGGTCGATAGTTGTCTGGGTCCGTTTGTGTACCTTTTTTATAAATGGGTTTCACGAGTGAACTTTTTAGTATATCTGGGAATACGCCTTCTTCAAAAGATTGATTTACCAGTAATGTTAATGGATATACTAAAGCGCTTGCACACTGTTTGAATAATGTTGGAGGAATCTCATCAACACTATAGCTTAGTTTATTTTTTAGACTTTTTAATATTTTAAGTATTTCTTCAAATCCTACTCTACTTAGAAATATTGAGTTTTCTGATGGACGCAGAACAGGAAGACCCTTTGCTTGTGGATGAATTGTTTCACCAATATTGGTGAAATAATCATTAAATTTATCGGCAATCTGTTTTGGGTTGGAAGAAATTTGGTTGTTGATATTCAATTTAATATTTGATTTAACCTTTAAATTCACTTTGTTTGTGCGTTCTCGAACAATATGCCACATTGTTTTTATTTTATTAGTAGACAGCTTTATCTTGTTTATATAGTGTAATTTTTTCGACGTTTTTATAACCTTTTTTAATATTTTTTCATATTTTTTATAATAATCTGTAAGAATTTTATCATTTGACCTTATAATGTGCGATTTGAGTAATCTTTTGTTATAACAAGACTTTTTTATACCGACGGTAAGCCAATGTTTTTTATATTTTATTTTTATTACTTTTTTTGGTATACAATTATCTAGAATTTTAATCACAGTTTGATGAAATATATAATAGTTATAGTTTATGTCTTTATTCTTATTAAGTATGTTTTCCCAATCAAGCGATTCCAGTGCAAGTTTAAAATTTGCTATATTGTTTTTGTTATATTGTCTTTTTTCGGTGTACCATATTTTTTGTTTATTTTGTTTAGAAAGATTCAGATGGATTATAGTAGCCCTATGGTCAGACAGACCCAATTCTTGCACAGTTGTTTGTATGTTTGCATCGTTAAAGTTTAAATAAATTAAATCTAAGCATGTTGAAGTTGTTTTAGTGACACGTGTAGGACTGTGGATTTGTTGGTGAAAGTTATATTGGAGCATTAAGTCTGAAAGCTTATTTCCTTTATTTCTTTTTGTTGTGTCGTTTTTTATATTTTTTTGTAGCATGTCGATATTAAAATCTCCCCCCAGTATGATTTTATGTTTAGAAAATTTTTTATTTATGTAATCCAGAATAGTTTTTATTTTTTCGTAAAATAAATCTTCCTTCTTCCCATTATAGTACAATGTTAACAATATAGTATTATATTTTATAAGCTCTACTGCACAAATTTCCACTACATATTCAATGGACATATTGGAAATTTCTTTTAATTCTAAATATTCTATGTCGTTTTTCAGTAGGATGCAGACGCCGCCTCCGGTGCGCGATGTTCTACAATACGATGCGGCTACTTGATAATCGGTTAAATGTATCAATTCAAGTTTTTCCGTAGATAGCCATGTTTCAGTAAAGCATAATATCTGGTAATCGGGATTACTTTGTACAAATTCTTCTAATATATCTATTTTATTGTAGATGCTCTGAATGTTCTGGATGAGTATTTTGTCTTGTAAGTCCTTGGTTTCGAAAAAAGGATTTATTGATACTTTTGTCATGTGTATCTTCGTTATCTATATCTTTGTTATTTGTTGTATTTGTATTCCATAGTACCTTTTTTCCTTCTACGTATAGGTTATCATCTTTTATCACAGCATATAATCCCTTTTGTCTCGCTTTAAACATTTCTTCTCTTAGTAATTTGTTGTGTTTTTGTGTAATATCATCATAGTACTTAGATATGGCTAATCCAGATTTTTTGAATAAATGTTTATGATCGATTAGGTATTTTGTCATCTTTTTACTTATCAATTCAATAACGAGGGGTCTAGTATTATTCCTATGTTTACCTAGTCTGTATGTGTCTTCAATATAACCGGTGAGATCTACATTCATAATGTCTCTGAATATGTTTACAATTCTGTTGCATAAGCTGAAATCATTTTCATTGTGTTGTTCCATTAGTTTATAAAGTACTATTTTTTTTTTTGAGTTTATTTCAGGTATTCTAAATTTGTTCTCAATCTTTTTACTTAGTTGTTTTATGTCTTCTCTTAGTTTTTCATTTTCTTTTGTAATTGACTCTATTTTTAAGTTCAGTTGGCAAATCTCATCTTTTCTTTGTTTATTTTGACAATTTAGAATTTCTGTTTTTTGCTGAATATCTTCTTTTAATGATATAATGGCTTTATTAATTTCTGAGTGAATTGTACTTTGCAGCTCATTTATTAGTGATCTATTATTTTCTTTTAACTTTTGTTGTATTATTACACTTAGAGTTTGCAGTAAAATTTCATCAGATGTTGCATTTGGGTTTGGGGAGGTCTGAGTAATAACAGTATCACCTAATAGCTCAATATCCACCGAATCACTAGTGTCATTGTGCATATTATTTGGGGATCTTCTTAATGTAATGTTGTTTCTATCAATTTGGGAGATATTTACTACAGGAGATTTTTCGCGAGGGCGTATTGGCGTGTTTGTGTTATTTTTCTTAGGTTGCTCATAATAGCAAGCTTGACATTTCCATGCGGCCTTTGTTTCTGCCGACATTATGTTATAGAAGCGTTGTGGGGTTACATTTGCGCAATCTAAATCGTATGTTTTTTTGCAGTATTTACAGGTTAGATGTTCCCGTTTATGAAGTATTTCATTACAACCAGCACAGTTAGTCGACATTATTGCAAAGTATTTCTTCCTAAATAATTATTTTGCCGCCCTCTTGTGGTGTGTGTCGGAGATGGGAAGTAATTTGCGGTTTTTGGTGTCCTGCTTTTTATTCGATGTATAATGTTGAGTTTCGGGTTAATCTAATAGATGGCGGAATAGGATACAAATGTTCGTTCGTAACAGTGTGCGCTTTTACCGATCTCTAACTATCAACCAAAATAGTAATCGATTGTCAACTTGTCACAGTAGGTTTTTGGTGTTATGTGGTTCATGCACGTTTCAATAGATGGCGTTAGTAGTTTTAACCCGGCCTATTGGGAACTTAGCGCTAAGAGTTCAAAGTCCAATTTATTAGAACTTGTATAGCGGTTGAGAAGATAACTGGATTTGAAAATGTTCACATAAAAGTATAAAAGTTTCACATTTATTATAGCACAGTTTTATTTTTTCACTTATAACTTTGTTGATTAATGAAGTTTTGTAATGTTTGTTTAATAGTTTTAGAGTTCGGATTACAAATAATTGCACTGGGTATTATTAAAAGTATAACACCGTGTAATTGCAGTGTAAGAGGTAAGACAATTCACTACCCCATACAGTCCTGTGGGTGTCAGAGAGGCTATAACACTCAGACTAGGGATGTTAATCGAAGGCGAAATAATCGGTTATTTCAATTCTGTCCATATCAATCAATCGACGAATCTATCTAATCTACCTATTCTAAGCTTTTAAACAATAAAAAAAATGTTTATTAAATTTATTTATTGAATTTTAATCAACGTTTCCATTGACTTTCATCTACTGGTGACAGAAAAAAATTACATAGAATGATGCCTATTTCTCATTTCTGTAGCGATCAGGCCAGCCTCTAAAAATCTTTGTCTTTCAGAAGGCATCGATGTTAAAATAATTGACAAGTGTTTAATCGCCGCTTTATAATCAATGAAGTGTTACTCCCCTTGCAAAAAAACCAAACTAAAATCGCCCCCAAACAATAAAAGAAACAAACAAAACCACAGGTTGTTGTTGTCGAATGTCGAATGAATAGACAATCTTTTTTTTCTACTTGAAGTAAGTCTGAAAATGTATATAACAGTTTAGCTGGTACGGTTCGCTGGTAACACATATTAAACATTCATTCTTTTATTCATTAAAGCCATTATGATCGGCCCGTCCCGAGATTTGAATCCGAGAACTCATGATCAATAATCGCTTCTGACCACTAGACTGACCAGGCAGTCAATTGTTTCTGCGTGCCTAATAAGGAATATTTATAAAATGCAGTGCAATTCTGCAATTCCTTTAGTATCTTAAACGTCCTGGACGACGTAGGAAACAGGGCGATACAAGGAAAATTCCTAACGTGCATTTATTTCTCACAGAATACCAGCGTCAAATAGCAGCTTAACACTGCTGTGTTTCGTATGGTGAGTGTAGAGAACCGGAGACCTTTTTACTGGAAAAGAGGCATTCTATCTAAGCCCTCACGGGTGACAACGCATCTGCATTTTGATTCTTTATTGAGTATAAATGTAGATGTCCATGGGCCACAGCAACCACTTACCATCAGGTGGCCTGAAAAAAAGATAAAAACTGTCCGTTTTATCTGGGAATTTGTGATAGTTGCAAATAAAAGTAGAAGCCTTATTTACTCGTAATTTCAAAACTTTACTAACGGTATTTCATTATTTATATATTTGAACTTAAGTTTATAATTTGGCTGCTCTTTGAAAAATCAACCTACACACCATCACCACTGTATAAGTATATTTGAACAACACATAAATTCCAAAGAGTATATCAATATTTTCATAAAACATGACTGTATATATCATAGAAAACTTCATCTAATAATCTGCTATTTTTTATATAAACATTGACTTCAAATGAGATTTTAGATTTTTCAGATAACTGAAAGTTTAATTTTTAAATTAAAAAATAATGTAACGTAAAAACCTTTTAATATGGCGGGCATTAATTAAGAGGTAATTATCAGTAAAATGTCAGCGCTGAAAGCACCCATGACATTCATCACGCGTCTACATCGGTTGGGCATATTCAGAATGTGGTTGTCAATATCCTGTTGAGGAATATTGTCCCAAGTCCTACTTAGATGCATAAAAATTCGTTCTTCTGTAACCAGAATTTCAGGGAAATCCCTTGAGCTCGTCTTTGGAGCATATCTCAAGCATGCTCAATAGGATTTAATCAGCGGATTGCACTGGCCATTCTAGGGCCGTGACATCATGTTCGTGCTACCAGGCTGTTACCACCCTGGTCATTTGTGAACAGGCATTGTCGTGTATAAGCAGGAAATTTAGGCATATTTCTGTTTGGTGAAGCAAAGCTATTCGTTCTAGTACCTCATTACGGTATTTTTTCCGTCACAGTGGGCTATATCCAAATTCTGTACGCCCAGCTGGCTGTACGCCCAGGCACTCTCCAAACGATGATACTCTACTCAACTCAGGACGAAAACCACCACCAACAACCATGTTATTAAAATATCTCTATACCGTGTTGTTGTGTTTACTTTGTTATCTTTGTTGGTTTATTAAATTGAATAATGAATAATTATGAAAACACAGTTGCTTTATTAATCTCATTTTATATTATTTAATAATCGCAAAATGATCACTAATGGTTCAAAACGATTCGTGAAGCTAAAGGTAACTAAACACTGCAAAATAAGTAAAGTTTAGAAGTTGCTGAAATCAGTCTCTTCGCGTTTGAGAAAATCCATTATAGTATAGATGAGATACCAAGTCAATTTGATAAAAATGCTTCAAAAAGCATTTCTTTGACTCAACGCGATAAATTAAATTAAAAAAAAATACAACGTTTTATTCAACACCCAATTAATAAACACTAAAGTTGATAATTCTATTTCTGAAAATCACGTTTTTATTTATTATGGTTAAAAAATTGAAATATTATCAGTTTAATTATAAAGAGTGCTTCAATAATTCTGGTATAAGTCATTCAATCTACCTACGCGACATCTCATCACCATCTCATCGGCATCTACGACTTTTTCTGCCACCAGGGCGGCGCCACTAAAAATGAGGTAGTCATCGCGGGGAAGTTAATATAAAAAAAATTATATAGGATAAGGGTGACAACCGAGCACACAGTCCACCTGATGGTAAGTGTTTGCTGTGGCCCATAGACATCCTCATCTATCCTCGATGACGAATCAAAATGCAGATGCGTTGTCACCCGTGAGGACTAAGATGGAATGCCTTGTTTCCAGTAAAAAGCGTTCTCTTCACTCACCATACGAAACACAGCCGCAGTAAGCTGCTATTTTACGCTGGTATTCTGTGAGGGCGTGGTCTTTCCCGGTCGAGTCGACCCAGTCGTGCTACAACTATACTATTAATATACGAGTAGCTGCAGCATGGCTCTGCTAGGTAAAAAAATGTAAAGGTTAATGTTTATTTCCGTACTATTAGTTATGTTTGATATAAATTAAATTAAAAATAAATAAACCAATCCACAGATGTTCATAAAAGTAAAAAAAGTGTTAAAAATGTGCAAAAATTAAAGAGCAAACCACTGAGGCATTGTTTTATGTAATTAAAATTAATATAATATTCTATAATAATACTAGCCTGACCAGGCAGACGTTGTTCTGCCCTTTCCGACGACCATTTGCTTTCCTAAAAAAAAACTCCTGAGATTAGCAATAAAAAAATTGAGGGTCACTTATAGGAATACAAAATGTCCTATCTCTCAAGTTGGACCAAACTACATACAGTGCAAAATTTCATTGAATTCAGTTCAGTAGCTTCGGAGTTCATCGCGGACAAACAATGTGACACGTAATTTTTTATTTATAAAGATCATATAATATTCTGACGGCTCCGTGCCGTAGTGGCTTAGCAATGAGTTGCAGCGCAGAGGGCCGTGGGTTCGAATCACACGGAAAAAGTATTTGAATGGCCTACAAATAATTGTTCCGGATCGGGATGTTTGTGTTTGTGCAATTTATAATAATAATAATAATTTATTTCAAGAAACTGTACAATTAATTCAAATAATGTCTTAATTTAAAATAGTCTACAATAACAGGTACCTGAACTAGGATAAACAATCTCAGGTGTATGTTTATTTTCTGTTTCTTATATAAAATGAATTACATCCTAACAAATTAGGGTTATATCAGTAAAATATATTAATTTACTTATGATTTTAATTAACTTAAAACAATCAGCAACTTTTTCGTATCATCGTATGACAAATTTTTTAACCATGTCCTGATTACATTTTTACAATCTGCCATTTTAAATGGAAACATGTACAAAATGATGACTTTATTATACAGAAAAGGGCCAAGGAATGTAAAAAAATGTATGCATGAAAGAATGCCTTATTCTAATGTTAGTTTCAATGACTATCTTTGCGTCTTTTATCAGTGACCTCTCTTCTGTAGGGCAATTTCAAGTGCTGTTTTAGTAACGTACTCATAACGAATAACTGGCGCACTGAGAGGACGTTATCGGATTTATATAAGAGATGTGACGGGAATAGGATAGGGCGGAATGTAGCAACTTGGAATGTTGGAGTACAGCTCTTTGAGCGCGTTCCAGTGGTAGCAATGTAGTTTTAGCTGCTCATCCCCATGAGGTTATACAATAGGTGAGAATTGTTTGACATAATGCGAAATATACTTGCTTTACTACCTTAATATCAACAAAAGAACGAATCTTTTTAAAAACAAACATTAGTTTACGGACTCTATATATATTTGTAAACTGCCTCCACGATAATATGACATTGTGTAACAAAACACTTCACCTCAGTATCAACTAGCGACATCTGGTAAGCGGAAGATTACTATCCCTCATTAGACACAACTGTCCAAAACTGCATAATACACAGTTTAGAAAGATATTAATTGCGCGTTATCACTTATAAATTACATATTGTATCTGTGCTGAGTATAGAAAGGAAACCAGGACAAGTTTTTTTTAACAAGCTAGAGCGCCTTCTCAACAATTGCATCA